TTTTCTTTGTATTAATCATTTTTTGAATTTCTTTTTCTGCCAAAAATGCTTCTCTTAGTTTAGTGGTCATAAGGGAATTTATTAAGTAGTTTGGCTGTTTCAGATACATCTTTTTTGAGAATTTTACACTCCTTATCAAACCATCTTTTGTTATTCCTTGGTTTAAATTTTTTATTGTTATTTTTATTATTTTTCCTACGAAATACCTGATTAGCTGAACTGGTGACTATTGAGTTAAAATCATCCACTGCTTTATTTATGTCTTTATCTTCATTGTAATTATTATTTAGGAAAGTTTTGATTTTATCTTGAATAGCTTTAGAGGCTAGGGTATCTTGATAATTAAACACTGATAGTTTATCCCATATATAACTATTTGGCAGATTATTTAGAGTATTTGTATTTGTACTAATTCTATCTAGTTTAATGTTTTTAACAAGTCTAAGAAGGCAGGAAATCTGGCAGTGGTCTGACATATAAGTAAAATTATGTACTTTAAAGTACAGAAATTCCTCAATGAGTTTAGATCCAGCTATTGCATAATCTACCATGCTAGCCCCGTTGTAATGATAACATGTGAAGTTCCCACTACAATCACCTGGTATTCTGCCATTCAGAATTCTAACATCACAAGTTTTACATAGGTCTGTCAAAGTTTTACATAGGTCTGTCAAAGTTTTACATAGGTCTGTCAAAGTTTTACATAGGTCTGTGAAAGTTTTACATAGGTCTGTGAAAGTTTTACATAGGTCTGTGAAAGTTTTACATAGGTCTGTCAAAGTTTTACATAGGTCTGTCAAAGTTTTACATAGGTCTGTCAAAGTTTTACATAGGTCTGTCAAAGTTTTACATAGGTCTGTCAAAGTTTTACATAGGTCTGTGAAAGTTTTACATAGGTCTGTCAAAGTTTTACATAGGTCTGTCAAAGTTTTACATAGGTCTGTCAAAGTTTTACATAGGTCTGTCAAAGTTTTACATAGGTCTGTCAAAGTTTTACATAGGTCTGTCAAAGTTTTACATAGGTCTGTCAAAGTTTTACATAGG